TGGCGGCGGCAGCAACAACAATACTACAGCGAGAATAAAAGTTACGTCTTCTTTCTTTGCGTGAACATTTGGACGGCGTTATGCAACTCTTCCCACATCGTGACGTAGACATGTGGGGGCGTGTTAGAACGAGCCGTTTTAGGTAGGCGTGATTGACTCTTAACTTTTATAAAGAATATCTCTTTGGATTTGAGACTTTAGTCTTTGCAACTTTACAGATCTTCTTTATGCACCAAGAGCTTGTGACACTCCAAAGAGAAAGGAAAAATTGAAATTGCATCATATGACCCCTTTAAGGCATTCCTTTCTTCAGATAGCTACTTTAATGACTGACAGAAAGTACAAACAATACTATCCAAATTAAACATTAATCTTAAAAATTCAAGATATTTTGAAAAATGTATCAGTGTTTGTATCATGAAAGTCAGGAAAAATGTTTGGAACAATATGAGGGACAATAAATGAATTTTAATTTTTGGGTGAGCGATCCCTTTAAACTGTAACGCTCCAGTTACATAAACTCGGTTCCCTTTCGAAGGGTCTCTCCCATTGCGTTGAACACTATGGGGTAAACTCCTGTTTACTCTGATACGGAAGCCTGATTTGTTCACATTCACGTAGCTGCACAAACAAATGGAGCTTCAAAACTGCCAAAAGGGGAGGAGCCAACTGCTATATAAGTCTGCTCTGAGCACCATTTCGTCAGAATCTTTCGACTGATAGTGACAGTCATCGACTCGCGTGCAGCCTTATAGCACAGCAGCCTACACAATGCTCGTTCCCTTTTCTCAAGGAACAAAGGTTACGTTCGTAGATGGAGCGTTCCCTTTCAACTGTCTCTCCTGTTGCGTTGAACGCTATGGAGAATGCATCCAATAGTGCCGTGCTATAAGCAAGTGCAGAACAAAGCTGCTCTGTGAGCACAGCCCTGGAGCACCTGTACTGAGGGCTCCAACTAGCATGAGCTAATATGAGCCCCAAGCCACTAGGCTGGGGACTACAAAACTGGACCTTCTCCACTCGTAGAGGTGATTAGGTCATTTATGCAGACGAAAACCGTGCCAGGAGGGCAGGGACATCCAAATTATAAAACCTGGTGAAAGTGGATGGCAACAACCAGCTAGCAGCCGCACAGATATCACCAATAGAAATCCTGCTGGACCAAGCCCAGGAAGAGGCCATTCCACTAGTGGAGTGGGCCTTTACTCCTATAGGACACTGTAAGCCCACATAGACAAAAGCCAGGGCTATAGCGTCCATTATGCAGTGAGATAGCCTCTGCTTCGTAACCGGCAGCCCTTTAGAGCGACCTCCGAAGCATATAAAACAGGCCAGAGCGCTCCACATACACTCCAAGAGCCTGGACCGAGTAGAGTGGATTGGGACCCTGCTCATCCTCTGAATTGGGAAGAGCCAGAAGGGTAATGATTTGTGCTCTCAATGGAGTGGAGAGCATAGGCACATAGCCGTGTCTCGGTTTGAGGACGACTCTACAGTCGTTAGGCCCAAACTCAAGACAGGAAGCACTGACTGACAGTGCATGCATGCTCACCCACTTGCTTGACCAATACTAAAGTCAAAAGGAGGGCAGTCATAAGTGACAGGGGTCGCAAATTGGCTGAATGGAAAGGCTTGAAAGGAGGGCCCCATAGGGCCCTGAGGACTAAGGATAAGTCCCAGGTCAGCACAGTAAGAGAACGAGGCAGATTCAATCTCCAAGCTCCCCTCAGAAACCTAATTCTTGCCGACTGACTGGCTGCCACATATACTTTGAGCGTGGAAGGGGTGCGCCCCCTATCCAGCAACTTTTGCAGGAAGGTTAACACGGATGATGTTACAAGAAGACGGGTCCTCATTCCGTGCTGCACACCAGTCAGAAAAGGGCCATTTAAGGGTGTAGATCTTGTAGCCTCCAAAAGAGCCGGCGTGAGATAACTTGAGCCCGATCATTGAGTCCCATTGCCCCGCTGTTTTTTCCTCCGAGGCTCTTGGGAGGGAAGAAACAGGAGAGCAGACTGGGGAGGACCGCCTTCGTGAAAGAAGGTGATCCGCAAGCGAAGCAGGGCGAGACTCATTCTCTCGCAGTGAGAGCACTCTGTCCCGGTAAGCTCTGCCCAGGCAAGCGACCTGTGCTCATCTGAGTCATGCAGGGGTTCCCTGCATGAGCCACACACACAGTGCGACATTTGCAACAACACTGCTGGAAATTTGCAGGAAATTTGCTCTTATTGTCGCCAGATGGCCGCAGGGGAAGCACTTGTTGGTAGGCGTTCTTCCACTGCTGGGGCTTTTCTACAGCAAGCAGGCTTCAAGCTTCTTGCTTCGGCTTCAGAGTCCAGTGGGGAAATAATCTTCGCGCTGAAGGAGAAATATTCTGATGAAATGGCGCAGAGAGCTGACTTATATAGCAGTTGGCTCCTCCCCTTTTGACGGGTTGAAGCACCATTTGTTCGTGCAGCTACATGAATGTGAAGAAATCAGGCTTCAGTATTTAGAGTAAACACAAGTTTACCCCATAGTGTTCAACGCAATCATGGGAGAGACCCTTTTAAAGGGAACCAGAATATATTCTATGTTGCAAATGCTTTAATTTAATTATAATTTTCATGAATTACTACAATATGCGTGCATTTTTTAAGGGTTAGGGCTTTTTGTATCCTATAGCTAATTTCTGAGAAAAATACCGAATGGTCCAATATTAAGGTCAGCCATAACAATGCCACCTCATAAAATTTGTACTATAAAAAAAAAAAAACATAATGTGTCAAATAGCAGTACAGACTCGTCTTGGGTAAAATTTCAGAACTGGTGATTTTATTGCGAACTATATTTAATCATCATGTATTTGCATGCATGTCTGTCATCTGCAGACAGCGGGGAGGAAGCGTGTACGCGCACATACGGGAACTCTCGTCTCCCTCACCGGCGCAGTTCACGTACGCTAGTCCTTTCTTGCTTGCGCGGCGAGAAGTCACGGCGCGGATGGACAGGCAGAGTCAATAAAACAGCCTCGACTATCTGAAAACTGCCTGCTAGCAAGCCATAACAATGCCAGCCTATTTCCAGAGACCGGAGAACGCTCTTAAGCGAGCAAACGGTGAGTGAATATTGTAGGCGGTCGTCTCTTGGACTGTAGTCGTGAGTTTAGCTGTTAGCTCGATATGGCGCGTGCTGGAGTAGCCATGTTCCGTGCAGGCCGGATGTCACAGTTGCTGGGCCCGTGTGTCGTGTATGATGCAGCGTTTTAAATCTCCTTTATTACTGTATCATATATTATTCTTATTCTTAGCGTACTCAGAGAAAGGACATGATTGTTAAGTGTAAATATTTTGCACACTTAGTAAACGATCAAAGGTAGAGACCGTTTTTGTTAATGCTACCATGTGTGTTAGCAAGCTTTTCCATTCCGCTAGCTTAGCAGTGACAACTTCTGGTATCGGAGGTTAAAGGTTTATTAACCGTATACACTGAAAAAAAAATCCTTAAAGCTATAACAGTCTTCCTTATTCGTGAATGAGAACCAAATATGTTGTCATTTGGACAAAATTTTAAACAAAATGAGTGGAATAGCAGCATTGCGCACCTGCCACCAGATTTATTTTCTCTGCTCATTCAATATTATAGTCAGCTGTAAATAACATATTTGTGATGAAAGTGGTATTTGAGGGCTGTATGATGCATAAATACTGCAGCAAGATCATGAAACATTTTTCAGTGATTCAGGCCCATCTGGATGCTGTATATGTCAAAAATCAACATATTCTCAAAGAGTGCTGGCCATGACAGTCTTTCTGTTTCTTTTTTCAGAGTTTCTTGAAGTTGGTAAAAAGCAGCCAGCTTTGGATGTGCTTTACGATGTCATCAAGAGCAAAAAACATCGAACATGGCAGAAGATACACGAGCCTATCATGCTCAAATACTTGGAGCTCTGTGTGGACCTGCGCAAGAGCCACTTGGCAAAGGAGGGACTGTATCAGTACAAAAACATCTGTCAACAGGTTTGAGACCATAATTATTATATACTTGAGCAGAAAAATAGAACTTTTAGAGTCTGCATGAAAATCATCTATTTCCTAAATGCACGTTATAGATCCTAATATGAATACGTTTTTTTGTTATTAATTGATTTTTTTTTTACTTTGTAGTGTTTAATCAAAATGTCATAAAACAACAGACTTCTCTCTGGTGACGTTTGCAGGACTTCTCTAATCTTTTAGTCCACTTAAAGTTTGTGTTCTTCTTGCTCCACTTTTGAGTGCAATGCCCACATCTCCAAATCCAATCAACAACTGATGAATAGAAAACAAACACCCTATATTTTTTATTTTTCAAAACTCAGGTGAACGTCACAATATGGAAGAAAAAATCTTTTGCTACTTCTGTTTCATGGTGCCTTTAAAGTTTAGTAATTTGTGTCATAGTGCTTTTAGTAGTGATATTGCAATCATGATGTTTTTCTAGTGAACATTTTATTGTAGAGTTTACATCAATTTTCTGTACAGGTGAAAAAACGACAAGTCAATTGTAAGTTCTATCTTCATGAAATTACTGACTGCTCCTCCGCTTGTGCTTCAGGTGAATATCAAATCTCTGGAGGATGTGGTCCGTGCTTACCTGAAACTTGCAGAAGAGAAGACTGAGACAGCGAAAGAGGAGTCTCAGCAGATGGTGCTGGACATTGAGGATCTGGACAACATTCAGACCCCAGAAAGGTACAGGATCCTAAAGGCTCTAACAGTTCTTTCCAACTGATGTGTCTAAAGTAAATGTTTTTTTTTGTTGTTATTATTAGTGTAATTAATTTATATTTCAATTCATTTATCATTTCAGAATTTCACTACATTACGCTAAATGCAGACAGGACATGTTCAATCTTTGTTTGAAGGGAATGGTTCTATATCAATATGATTGTGTTCCGTAAAAGATTATCTGAAGTGCTAACTGTTGTTGTTGGGTTTTTTTTCCCTATGTTTTTCAGTGTTCTGTTGAGTGCCGTCAGTGGTGAAGACACTCAAGACCGCACTGACAGACTTCTGCTCACGCCTTGGGTAAAGTTCTTGTGGGAGTCGTACCGCCAGTGCCTGGACCTGCTAAGGAATAACTCCAAAGTGGAGCGCCTTTACCATGACATTGCTCAGCAAGGTCAGTGTAAAGCCCATATAACACAAAAACATTTGCTTGTGGGAGTTTTAGCATATGGTACAGATAAGGGTTTACAGTGCCTTGCGAAAGTATTCATACCCCATTCATTTTTTCACATTTTGTTATGTTGCTGCCTTATGTTAAACTGCTTTAAATTACTTTTTTTCCACATCAATCTACACTCCATACACCATACTGACAAAGCAAAAACAGAATTGTCACAACTTCGTAAATTTATTAAAAATAAAAAACTGAAATAAGTACATTGCATAAGTATTCATACCTAATACTTTCTTAACTAAATATTTAAGCACCTTTACAGTCTCAAGTCTTTTTTGTTGATGCGACAAGCTTTGATCATCATCATTTTGCAATTATCTGCCATTCTTCTCCTCACCTCTTCACCTCTCAAGCTCTGTCAGGTTGGATGGGAGAAAATGCACATTTTCAAGTTTCTCCAGAATTATTTGATTGGGTTTAAGCTCAGGCTCTGGCTGGGCCACTCAAGGACGTTCACAGAGTTGTCTATAAGCCACTCTTGCTGTGTGCTTAGGTTCATTGTGCTGTTGGAAGGTGAACCTTCTGCCCAGTCTGAGGTTCTGAATGCTCTGGACTGGGTTTTCATTAAGGCTATTTCTATATTTTGCTGCACTGAGCGTTTCTTCTACTCTAACGAGTCCCTCAGTCCCTGCTGCTGAAAAACAGA